CCTCTTAACTGCTTAGTGAAAACTGTTAGCTGACAGCGCACTCACTTGGTATCTTGGGTGTACAGTGGTGAAAATGGGTCTCAGCTAGACCCTATAATACACTCAATCCTAATTGGGAACTTTGTGCTGTGATTTCATCCGACCACCATTTAAACTCTCCCAGGTCTTCTGTTGGCCCTTCCTCCTACTTACCATTGGTGTAGTGGAAAGTATACACTGGTATACGGAGTACATCCCCCTCTTTTTCTGTCGATTCACAGTATACTCACCTATCAGCCAAAAAGCCATGGAAATGAATAGGAGAGTATACGCACTCTCTCCTTAGTAATCTGCCCTACTACCTTATAGAGCGGAGCTCCCCAAATCGCGGTCCTCGAGGGCCGAAAGCTGCTGGTTTTCTACTCTCTCTTTACCTGGCAGTGGGGTGTGATCTCAATCTGTCCAATCAGTGGCAGTAATTGTTCACAGAGCTTCCTGTAAAGAGAGAAAATCAGGGCTTGATTTGGATTCGAGGGCTAGATTTGGACAGCTGTCTGATCGAGTGCACCCTCCTCTCTAGTGACCACTACACCGCTGACATTAGCTCTTGTCTCCCTGCAAAGCAGCTTTGCAGTCAATGGACGAGTGCCCACTGCCTTGAAGGAGTGTTTAAAAATGAGCATATTTGGCGTTTTACTTAGTGAATGAAGATGGATGGGATCCATTGCTTTTTGTCTGTGGCATTAATTAGCAGGCACTTGCACAAACCTTAGAACAGGATTATGTATATCAGTTCCCTAAGGCTACCAGCCATTTTGGGTAGTGCAGAACTAAGGTGAAATTTCAGATTTTTTTCTTTACTCCGAATGGACTACCGTCTGTCTATTTGGATCAGGTCCACTGATTTGTCTCTGTCCTCACTGCCATGGTAACACCAACACCTGAGGACGGCGGTGGGCCCAGGACAGGATGTTGTTTGCTTCTCCCCTTCAGAATGAATTTAGGAGCTTATAATAACACCATCTCTGGGGCTCGAGCTGGTGACGATAGTCAATGATTCTGCCCGACACCCAGGCAATGCCCCATTGACCAACCGTGAAGGACTTCATTGTTTGTGTGTGTGTGTGTGTGTGTGTGTGTGTGTGTGTGTGTGTGTGTGTAGGTGTGTTCCTGGTTTACCTACCCTTGTGGGGACAAAATGTCCCCATAAGTAATGCAATTCCAGATTTCTTCATCCTTATGGGGACTTTTTGAGGTCCCCATGAAGAAATTGCGCTATTTTAGGGTTAGGGGTCAGGGTTAGGTTAAGGTTAAGGTTAGGGTTAGGTATGTAGTGTTGAGGGTTAAGGTCAGGGAATGAATGCAAGTCTATGGAATGTCCCCACAAGACATGAAAACCCAACATGTGTGTGCATGTGTGTATGTATGTGTGTATTTCTTTCTGTGTACACGTGTGATTATCATGTAACATGAAGTTTTGCTTGAAGGACAAGGGCTGTTATCGAGTAGTAAGTATTTCTTAGCACTTGCTATATCACGTTTACGTGTGCATGTGTTTTGTGCATGGATATATTTTACACATTTTTTTGATTTGTCTGTATGTGTGTATCTATTCTGTATGTCAACATGTGCATGCATGTCTGTGTGTCTGTTTGTTTTCTGTCAGTTTTGTGTGTGTGTGTGTGTGTGTGTGCAGGTCAGCGCATGTTACTGTGAACACGTGCTTCCGTGAGCGCATTTGTCTGCGCACGTGATTGTCTGTTTCACTTGCGAATGTATGAATGTGTATTATGTCAGCGTATGTGTGCATGTCTGCATGTGTGTATTATGCGCCTATGTATGTTTGAAGGTGTGCGTTTCGTCAGTTTTGCGCGCGCGCGCGCGTGTGTGTGTGCGTGTGTGTCTGGAGAAGCAGGCGGGTGGGAGAGGTATTGTGATGGATGGCCTTGCCACAGTCACATCTGTCGTGTCTCAGAACGGAAGGCTCTCCACTCTGCCTAATGCCCAGGGAGAAATCGGCCCAGCGGGGGGAGATATCGGGGCGAGGTGGGGGGGGGGTATCTTCTACAGACCCCTCCTTCCTCCATCACGAGCCTCTCACAGAGCAAGCTCATCCCCTGGCCTCTTTCTGCCCCCCCCCATACTTGTTATCGCACTATTAGATAAACAGCTGATCTGTGATCTCACATTGCTGAGAGCCTATGGATCCATAAAGGGAGATTCTCCTGTTTCTGAGGGTCATGGGTCATGCAAAGTTCCTTTTTTTTCACCATCTTTGGGGAAAATAATGTTTTTTTTGAGGGGGTGGGGTCAGAAGTGAGGGTAATGTTTAAAAGTAGTGTTTTAAAGCACGACAGCATCGTCATTATTTCGTCCCTGAAATGTCCGGTTGGGAATGCGTGGGAGGTGTCCGGAGTGAACGCCACTTTGATGTGCAGAGATGATGGCGGTGATGCACGGGGAGCAAAGCAGTGTACTGAGTACTGTTAGTGTGTGTGTGTGTGTGGGGGGGGTGCGTATGCGTGCATGCATGTTTGAGTGAGCTTGTGTGAGTGTTTGTGTATTTGGGTGTTGGTGTAAGCATGAGTATTATATGCATCTGTATGTGAGTGAATATGCGTGCGTATGTTTGTGTGTGCGTTTGTGCATGATTGGGTGTGTTTGTGTGAGTGCATATGTATTTTGGCGTTTGTTTGACCATGAGAATGTATATCCATGTGCGCGTGAGCGTGTATGTACTCTATGTGTGTGTGTGTGTGTGTGTGTGTGTTTGGGCTGGGGGTGCGTTTGTGATTGATGACCGGCATGCGTTTTGAAGACGGTGCGTGCAATGGACTGCAGTGGAGCAGTCGTCTGGTCTCTCACTGCAGGAGAGAGGGAACGAGGGGGAGAGAGAGAGAGAACAGAGGAGAGATTGAAAGAGCGGGAGAAAGAACAAGGGAGAAGGAACGGAGGAGAGAGTGAAAGAGAGGGAGAGAGAAAGCGAGGGAGAGATGGAAGAGAGAGAATGATGAAGTGAGATGGCGAGAGAGAGGGGGAACAGGAGCAGAAAATGTGTGTACAAACTGCACTGCCTGCTGTCTCCAGACACCAATGTTTCATGAAGCTCAGTAGCCCCTTGTTTTGTTCTCTTTTGTTATAGGTATACTGAGCGAGAGTTTCCTCATAAAAAAATATATGGACTCGTACAAAAATAATCCCACTCAATCATCACTTATGACTCAGTAGGAGTGTGTGACGGTGTCTGTATCAACATCACCCTGCCATCTGTCGAAAATTTCTTATTTTACATTGTACGGGATATTTCTTGGCATCAGCCATTTGGAAGTTGGTGTGTAGCCCCCGGCCTATAGCAGCGCACAGGGTGTGAGGGCGGGACATTGAACTGCATGGCAGGATAGTGCTTCTGGTTTTGTTTACCTCGGGAGGATGGGCCAACTTTAAATGTTGTGTTTACAAACTGCAACTGAAAAGTCCCTCCCAGTATACCTTTAAACTCAGGGCACGGACATGTTATGGCACAAGAATCCTGGCCCAAAGTGGAGATGAGTCACGTGATCCTGGCGCTCCACGGGCAGCTGATTTCTATAATTCTGAACAGCTTCGCAAGCGGTTCGAAGGGTCGGACTTTTACGCGCTGTCAAACAGTGACCGAGCTGTACAAATCAAAGTGCCGCTGTCTTCTCGCGAAGCTGAAAACTTTGGCCAATTCCCAAATAGCCCGTTTGACTTCATGCCCATTCGATCTTCGCCTGCGAGTGACGCGGGGCACTGGGCCAAGTCTAGCCTAATAAGTGTCACCATGACGTCCCGATTTTGCTCATACTGAAGTGTTGCATGTAGCTTGCCAGCTTGTTAAAATTCAGCAGCGAGCGAATGTCGTTGGGTGTCTTGTCGTAGCGGCCTAAATTTAGCTCCCCGGAAAGACAATATTAATGGACAGTCTGGCTCTGTCTTGCCTGGTGTCTCAGACGGCTGCATTCCCTGTTTCTTCATATCTTACCCACTCTTCCATCTACTTCCTGGCCTCAAGGATTTATAATCAGAGGCAGTATGATAGGATTGATCTGTTATTTAGGATTTGGTATTGATCCTCAGATGATATCGACCTGGTATCAGGAGGACAAATTTGTGATTATGATTGTTATAATTTTTATATTCTTATTTCTGAATCAAAGCTTATGCAAATTGGCTGTGCATTATACACTATGATATTAACAAAAAAAACCCCAAAAAAAACATAACATGAAAGTGGTGCTTATTGAAAACATTGAGTAGTATTTAAGCTCTCGCTCAATCAGTTTCACTTGGCTGTTAGATACCGTGGCAGCATCTTCTTTGTATTTACATGCGGACTGTACATGCATTTCCATGTAAAACAGTGTCAGTCAGTCTGCAGAGTGTTTTCACAACACTGCATAATCAAGTGTCAGTCTTTTTCTTTCATGTTAAAGGTGTTGACTGTGTTTCTGACTGTGATATACTTTCAAACAGTGAAACGTCTCTCCAATCTTCCCTTTTACTTGACACAAAATGTCTTCTTTGCATATTGCCGAGCGGAGAGCAAATCGATCACGACCAGCATTCTGATCCAAGAGATATCCCACTCGCCCTGGCCTATGCTAGAGTAAGCCTCACATGGCTGACCCCTCTTACGTGTTCTGGAATAAACCATATGTTATTTTAGGGGCAGGGGTTGTGTGGATGGTTGAATTAGAGGTTCTCCCACCCGAATATATCCTATGGAGTTTATGGTTGTGTAATTTTGTAAGATAAGATAATATACGCTTTATTGAACCCCATGGGGTAATTTGTGCTCTGCATTTGACCCATCCTATAGTTAGGAGCAGTGGGCAGCCACAGAGCAGCGCCCGGGGACCAACTCCAGTTCTAAAGCCAGTTCCTTGGTCAGTGGGTACTGGTTGGGGTGTTTCTATGATGCATGTTTTTGTGGGTGGAATTGGAGTACCGGGAGGAAACCCACGCGAACACGGGGAGGACATGCAAACTCCACACAGAAAGGCCCCAGGCCAGAATTGAGCCCACGACCTTATTGCTGTGAGGCAACAGTGCTAACCACTATGCCACCGTGCCGCATTAGGAAGTCATCTTGGTCATAGTTGCAGGGAGTTTTAGGAAGCAGCACAGTGAGCCGCAAGATTTGTATGGGGCCTAACATGGGCCCTTGCTGGACCTTGTCATCACTGCGCAAGGACACAGGAACAGATTGCAGCAAAGCAGTTCCTAACTGCGAATCAGCTATGCCGGGGAAGATTTACCGTCTATAAGAACACATATCCCATCTACAAAAAAGGCTGCCTCTGGAAAAATTCTCTCATACGAGCGATGAAACTGCATCCAGTTTTGATAAAGCTAGCCCAGCTAATAAACTTCTCGCTGCGTCCGGTGGACGAAATGAAACGCAAATCCCCAACAGGATTTAGTCAGCGCGCCGTATTGCTGATTAAAATCTCAGCAGCTGTTTCTTGGGTTTTCCCATGAAGAATACATCTCCCCAGTCTGTACGGTGCTTTGCTGAATAATTCAGCAGCCATCAAGAAACATAATGCCCCTGCCTCTTCCTATTCTTACTCAGGCGGCTGTGGCGGGCGCTGTTAACGGCGGCTCTAAGCAGGTGCCAGACTATTCGTCAGCCAATTTAATTTAAGCATGCTCATTTCTCCGCGAGGCGCTCACGAGATCAGTCAGCCGAAAGCGTAATTGTGTGATTGTTGACGCACCTTTTGTCACCCGAGTTTCCTTCTTCGCATATGGAGCCGTAAATCTCGGCCGAGTGACATCACAGCCGATGCTTTATGCTTTAGGTAGGTCTTGCTGTACTGGTATTGGCCTGCTTTGTACATTTAGTGCTAAACTGCTTTCTCAGAGGATCAGATGAACAATATTGAGCAGTAAAATGTGTAATACTCTATCATTTCACATCTGTATGTTCAATAAAATCCATGCATTACGTTGTATCTGCACATATTGTATAAAAATAGGCTACTTTCTCCCTCTATTCCCCTCGGTCTCTCTGCATGTAGGTATGCGTATATACAGTATGTACATGTCCTTGAGTGAAGGTCCACCCACAATGATAAAATCATTTATCCCAGCAAGCATACAAAATGTTCTCACAGCGGGCCTCAGTTATAAAAATGTACGAATGTACTGCATTCACTTTTTACTCTGTAAATTAAAATCAGCTTGAAATTTTGCCAACGTGCACAACCCTTCAGATGAAAGTGGCGTATGCACTGTGTCTTATTTGACTGGACGCAGATGCCTATAAACTAGGCCCACTATCACTGAAATTTTTGTTGATGTTATACGCTGCTGCTACATCGCAGGAACATTGTTTGTTAGCTGGGTTATAGCATGTATGTATGTTGGCGTGGACGTAATGTATTTAAATCAGTAAAAATGTATGAAGTGGAAGAATATGTGCTCCAGTGCGTACGCTTTTGTTCATGACCTTCCTGTTGGCGAGTGCTGCTTCTCTTAATCTTAGCTGAAGGGTGTGCTGTAATGGGGACCTGCTGCCCGTTCCGGACGTCCTCACCGCCTCGGGGGACTGAGGGGAACTGATCGGTGGCAGGGTGGGGGGTTTCAGAGCCATTTGTGTTGGGAAGAGAGGGGGGGGGTCCCGCTGAAAAGGGGAGGGGAGGGGGGGTCCGGCAAGGGCAAGACCGATGCCTGTGGTGCGTGAGGGATGGCCGGTCGTTAACGTCAAACTGCGCGGAGACAGTACAGCGGCGAGTTTCCCCGCCGTCCCTATGGAGAGGCCTGTTAATGTCATTGTGCCGGCTACAGAGGAAGGTAAATGAGAAGTTTTGCTTTTAATGCTGGGTTGAGCTGGACTGTGCCGCATTAAACCACAGAGAAAACGCATCAAACCCCCCCCCCCCAACAGTGTTTTTCCAGGACCCCCCTCCCCTCATAACGATTTACATTTGAAATTACAGGCAGGCGAGTGGGCCCCGGGACCCTGGAATTAAATCAACTCCCGTGGCCTTCTCATCATAGACCTCTACGCTCGTCAGTAACGGTCGCCCAGACCTAACCGCCTTACGTAGGCGGCCACTTCAGATTCGATTCGAAAACTTTTTTCTTTCTCTGTGCACTCGCCCTGACACCTTACAGAAAAATCGATGGAGGAATTAATTCGGATAAACGATACAGAAGTTGGAGAGCGGGACCCTGGCTTCGCTCCGGCATGGTAATGAGCACTTCCTTCCCTCGGCCTGAGACATTAAGGAAGCAGCGTGCGTCCGCTTAATAAGCGTCTTACAGGGCGCGCTCTCTCTCGAGTGCCACGTCGCTTAGTCATGAAATATGCATCACCGCACGCCTTTTCAAAGGTCCCGCTTGCATAGGCCAAGGCAGGGAGCCACGGCTTCCTCGTTTTTGATCAATACGTGGGCGATAGCGGTGCTTCTGAGCTTGGGGGTGGTTGTTAGAGGGGGGGCAGGTATGAAATCTGGAATTGAAGGCCTGGTGGCTCGCAGACAGTGACTGGCACTGTGGCCGTTTGAAGCTTTTCCTAGTACGAAGGAGAAATAACTGACCGCCATTTACTTCCCTTACATTTGCTTGTTAATATTTCTTTAATATTGCCTGGGCTGACGTACAGGCCAGTCTTGTCTTGGGGCATGCACTCCTGAGGCAGACTTTGCCACCATTTGCTCGTCAACCTTTGCTGCAGTCAACAGTTTGGAGGAAAACTGCATACTGCTTCACTGTGAAAAGTCCATGAATGCTTGCAAACACAGGATAATATTACAAAAAGCGTGCCTCCCACAACTGAAAAGTTTTTTTTCCTAAAGAAGAATAATCAACTGTTATTTTTAAACTCTCCTTTCAGTCAAAAGTTGTTTGCAAGTTTACCCACGTGATTTGAACATTTAAATAAATGAAAGGGAATAGCTATCCCGAAGTAACCCATTTGTTTCATTTTTGCCAATTTCCTGACCAGTGATTTGCTGTAGAGACCATTGAAAGCTTTGTAATTTGCCATTTATGGCATGGCCTATTTTTTTTTTTTTTTTTTTTTTTTTTTTTTGCCTGGGAGTGTACCTTTGTTGTAGTATCTGCTTGACATTGTTCCTGAAGATCTACCGTCCTGCAGGTTTTCACTCCAACCCCTGCAAACTGCATTTTGTTTTACAGCGAGCTGTATCTGCATGTTGTTCATTAGAACAATCGCGCTCACCAAACTGGAGTTGGAGTGAAAACCTACAGGACCGTAGGTCTTCAGGAACAGAGCTGGGCCGCCCAGGCTTTAAGTGAAGGGAGTTGCTGAGAATTGGCCTGGACTGCAAGTCGAGGCTGTTTTTTCTTTATCTCGGTGAAAAATGACAGCAAACATGAAAGGCATACTTGAGGGATTATCGTTTGTTGTACAAGGTTGGCCAGCAGTGGAGAAGAGGTTGGCGGTTCCTTTACAGGGAAGGGCAGTACCACAGTACCCTGGAACAAGTTGCTTAATGTTATTCGCCCTCTTTCTGTTGCTGTGCTTATCCTCAGTGTTGACCGCCCTCAGTTTTTAGCTGCTCTTGCCTGACAGTTGCTGCAGTTCTCCTCTCGTAGCTTAATCTTCATGTTATTTCCCCCTTCCCCCTTCCAAACCCCCCTATTCCCAGCCTCTGTTCCTCTCGTGACTGCCCCTCAAAGCCAGACTAGCTCCAAAGTCTATGTAAAAATGATTTTTCCCTTCCCTCGCTCCCTCCTCCTTCCCTTATCTCCCCATTTCCCTCTTCGTCTCCATCTGTAAATCGGCTACAAATGTACTTTCTGTCAGGCTTCTCCCTGCACTGTTCATTTGAAGCACCCGGCATGTTTTGTCAGTTGCGAGCCCCTGAAAGACCTGATCTCATCCCTTTTTTTGTGATTTTCTAGATCAGACTCAGTATGCTCAATTCACTATGGACAACTCTTTTTTTTTTTCACTTGTGAGATTTATTAGCCTTGGCAGAGAGACCTGTAATAGGCTTAAATAAGCCTTGAGGTTACCATTAAAGTATGTGGTCACGCGGTTAGTTTTTTCACGCATGTTTTCTGTACAGTGCAGTACCTGGACGACGTCCACTGCTGTATGTCAGCATTCCCCTTGCGGGGGGCTGGAGGGGGGGATGGAACCATTGGTTTTTAATAAAAACTGATATTCAGGATCTGCGTATTCTGAACAGGAAGTGCCTACCGCTCTCTCATTGATTCTCAAACTTCCAAGTTCTTGGACTGGGCCAGAGACAATTGGCATTAAGGGGGTGCCGATTGAGAGATTCCTTGCCTTGCAAATTTTTGTACATGGCTTCCTGTATGTTTGTGTCCCTCCCTCAGACTTTTTCGCCAAATGCCGTGACTCTGGGAGGGGGGACTGGGAAACAAACTTTGCTTATAACTGAGCCTAGAGCTTGGACGAGTCTTAGACTTTTTGGCCTTCGGACATCAGGTTTGGCATTTATTTATTCCCCTACATCTCCCAGTTCGGGACTCCCGGCCATATTTATCACTGATACAGCTCCTGCCGTCAACTGGGTGGGCAGCAAACAAGTGTATTCTCCTCTCTAAAGCACACGGTGTTCGGGAATCCTTCTCATCGTGCTGCTGTTGTGTGTCTGAAGGAAGTCACTTCACATGAAGCCTAATGCGCATGCTGCGAGCATCCTGCTGGCCAGCTGGGGTCGCTAGTTTGTGATGAGCTGGGGCTGTAATTAGCATAGCAGCCTTATTGCTTTAGTATGGGGTAGAGGTCCGGAAGGCTGGTGGTCCAAGTCCCCTGAGTCGCCGGAATAAGGTCAGTGTACCTGCTGGGCCCTTGAGTAAGGTCATAGCCACTACATTGGTCTCAGGGGGGGTTGGCCTGCTGGCCCCTGCTTGGCCTCTGCTTGGCCTAATCAACTGTTAGTCACTTTCAATGATGGCATCAGCAGAAAAACTGAAGTGCGACATAACTGCTATTTTTGTATCCTTGAAGGATGCAGGCGATTGCGGTGTCATGTGTCATGGGGCTTTGCCTACAATATATGCCGCAAAATCTGGATTTGAAACCAGCACTGGCTGTTATGGAGGTGACTGTGACCGAAACCTTTAGC